AAAACCCAAAATCCTTACTATGATCCTTAAGGACCTACGTGAGTTTGTCCTCAGCCATTTCTCTGATATTATCTCCTACCATTTTCATACTTGTCCCTTTTGCTCTAGTCACAATGGTTTATTGGCTATTCAAATAATCAAGAATATGCATCTGTGCTTATGGTTTCCTCTTTTTGAGAATGTTCCTCTCCTCGATATCTGCATGGCTTGCTCCCTCACCTCATTTAGTTTTCTGTTCAAATGACACACTGTCAAAATATCCAACATGGAATGAATGACACCTATATTCACTATGGGACATATTATTTTAAAATTCTACCTACTGGAGTTCCATCAAGATGGCAGAATAGGCAGACAAGCTATACAGACCCTCTGCAACTAAGCAACAAGAAACCAACTGAAACCGACACAGAAGACAATACTGGATCCCTAAGCTTTGAAAAGGATAAAAAAGTGGATTAAATACCAACTAGTAGAAGAACGTGAATGGAACACTGAGTAAGGAGACAAATGGAACTGCAAACTGCAGGCTGTCCTGTATGCACAAACATTTTGACTATTTCCCAATAAGCAACCTAAGAATCGGCTCTGATCACCAAAACTGCATGGATGGACAAGGACTGCATTTATGCCTAACAACCAGGAGCCAGTGCAGCAGGTTTGTGTGTGTACAAGTAGCATTCTTTCTTGAACTGCAACATGCAAGTGTGCTCCATGTGCCAAGGACAACACAAGAAACCACACTGGAGACTGCCAATCAGAGTGGTGTGATATTCCCCTTGTTACTCTTGAGGCCTACTGATGAACAGGGATGTGGCCATCCCCCAGCCTCCACCTACCTCCTTGACTTATGTGGGCTCCATCCCTTTCCGTGTCTTGGCAGAGCCTGGGTTCTGTGCCCCACCCCCACCCCCATGGTATTGCTTTCTTCATTTGTTTTTATTCTTTTTGTCTTCCTTCATTCTTTTCTCTTTCCCATCCCTGGTTCTTGGTTTTTTTTTTT